GTTTTCAGACCCTATAGATGATTTTTTTATCCTTTCAAGTTAACTTGTTGTGACATATGATCTTAAAATAAGAAAAAGTGAAATGACAAGGTGATGAATTTTATGGATAAAAGCTTTTTTGAGGATAATTTTAGCCACTTATACCACTGTTTCAATATATAGGAGGATTAGAGTTTCTAAAACTTCACACTGACTTTCTGTGACAGAATTTCAAATGGAAAAGGACAGAGGCTTTGGAACCAGAAAGGCAGAGATTCAAGCCCATCTCTGCAACTTTCTTGCTGAGTAATCTTGGACAAGGTACTTAGACTCTTAGAACCTCTGTTTCTTCATCTGTAAGTTGGGCTAATGAAGTCTGTTTGGCAGGGTTGTGAGGCTTAGAGATAATGAAATGCCTGTTAGAGTGTCTGGCAAAAGTGGACACTCAATAAATAACAGTGACTTTTGTTTTATTGTAATGGCTCTCCTGGCAGGCCACCAGGAAACACACGCTGACATTGTAGAGCGCCCAGATTCTTGAGGTCCCCGGCATTCTACCCAGAGGGGAATTAACAGTGGTGCCTTGGTCACATATTCAGAATGGGCAACTCAAGACCTTAAACAGAATTAGGCATGCAGTTAGTGTTTGTTGATTGAAGGCTCACCTTTCCTTAAGATTTCTCTTCACTTGGGGTCTAGTGGAAGCTGGTGTCCATCTACCTGGAAGTTACCCATTCCCATGCTTCAGCCTCCAACACTCCCCTGAATCATACTATGGAGGGGGCAACCTGGTCAACCTCCTCTCCCTCAGACCCCGATTTACAGGCAAAGCAGGACAGTAAGGCTGATCTGAGTGTCTCTGATGGCACCTTGACATAACCCTTGGACACAGAACACTCAAACAAGAGGCATTTTAGAATAAGGTCTGACTTGGAGTGCTTGGTGCTGTTTGAATATTAATGTAACTCTGATTGTTACTCTAACCCTTTAACCCCTGGGAGAGATGGGTCTTTTTGAGAACAGTGTTATCCCTGCTGCCCTGATGAGAAAGTTGAGTAGAATCAAAGAACAAACTTTGCAGAAGCAAGAACTAGAATTGAGAGCCACTGGCCCTTCTACTTTGCCCCAGTGCCAGATCATGGCTTGCCCATTTTATTTGGCTGGTCAGAGAGAACACCACTTGGGGAAGACGGAATTGTTGTTCCATAATGGGTCAAAATCAAAACCCCATTGTCCCAACTCAGCCTTTCCGACAGGCTGACTCCCTGTCTTTTTTCCTGTCAAAATGCTCAAAAACATTTCCTTTCTGCTGTTGCAGTGTAGCCAAGGCAAGTCTTCAACATTAGAGATGCTCTATTTGCAAACAGTGCAGTTAACAAGGGGCTCTATTAGCCGTATTTACATGGAAAACAGTAGTATTGATACATTTAATATAGACGGCTTTTATATTTGACTTATAGAGCCAATGAGATAGGAAATACGTTTGTGGTTACCTTTTGGGTTATTTAACCCTGTTATCGGAAAGGCTTCTCAAACGCTGGCCTTGTCCTTCTCATGTGTATCTACAGTTTCAGTTCTAGGAAGTATCAGCTAATTTTGTGTTTCATTTCAGTTCATAAAGAGATAGAAAGTACTTTCTCAAAACAGCCCTTTTCAATACTTTCTTTGCCCAAGTTCAGCCTGCAACTCTGCCCCACCAATGTCCTTTTCCTCACCTTCACCCCACTTTCTCACTGTGCCGCTCTAGAGATCATAAGAATCAACAGCAAGTGGTCCCTTTCATCTCCTCCTGCCCCTCCCAAACCTCAACTCAGCCACTTGTGGGTTAGTCAGGTTCTGCCTTCTCTCCAGCCAGCCCTGCATTCCTGGGGCTAGCCGAGTGATCCCTGGAATCTCTGCACAGAGGGAGTTTTCTCTTGTACATGCTTAGCCCCGTGTGTTTTGATTCATGAATATTAAATAATTAGAGATCACAAGGTCTTACCTCCATCTTGTACACTTTAAAAACATAATAGCTCTTTTATTTTATGGCACTTAACTGTGTTTATTCAGCATGGTCAGGGCAGCATTCAGGCTATAGCGAGCTGTTAAATATTTACCCATGAGGCGGATATTTATACATGAATCAGCAGCAGTTATCAGTGTGTGACGCTGGAAGTCAGGTTCAGTACCCTCACAAGCTAAGCAACTACTGTTCTGGGTCCAATAAAGGGGGCAATAAGTATCCTTTCAAAATAAACTCTTGTTTAAAATACCTGTCTGAAGTGTTGCACACACTGAGGCATGCCCTGCACGGCCATCCAGGTCCTCCCGTTAGACATGGCAGAGTGGTGGGCCCGCACATCCAGGCTTTCGTGGATCCGGTGGTTGATGGTCAGGGTTGGAGAGGGTGGGGTATGAACTAAACGGAGAGGAAAGCGAGCTCGGATGCTTGGTGGCAAATTGTGATGGGAGATGAGCTGTAACCACTGCGCCTGTGTTAGTGGTGGTCTGAGTGTGGCTAGAAGCCCGTCAGCCTCACTGGAATCCCAGCCAGCTCACTACTAGCCAGACCGGCTGTTTCTTTGCACCCCTGAAGCCCTTCAAGATGAAAGCTTCCTTGCTCTCAGAGAGGCACGGAATTCAGCAGCGACAGCGTGGACCCTGGTCACGGGCAGTGAGTTCACACCTTGGCTCTACCATGTTCTAGTTGTGTGAACTCGGAGATTTCTGCTCTCTGAGCCTCGATTTCTTTACCTGTGAACGTACAGTGATGATTCCTACCTCCCTGCCTCACTGAATTGTGGGGAGGACTACGTTAGATCATGAGAAAGCACCTAGCAACAAACGCTAATTCTCGATAGTCACAGAAGGGGAGTGGGAGCGACGGCCCAGCAGTGGAGCGGCTGGTCTTCAGGGCTCTCCACACCTCTGCTGCTCTCCGTCATCAGGTCAGGTTTGGTTAGTGGCTGGACTTCAGAAACTGAGTTTCCCATTTCAAGGATTTCCCACAGACTATTTTTATTCCTTATATTCAATTTAATGAGTGATTAAGAACGTATCCTATAATATTTTATTCAGGTCAAAGCCCAGTACAGTCAGTTCAAGGAAATTGTCCCAGTTATTTTATTTTTTGGAATTTTATCGTGCTAAGGATTGTGTTCTGAGTATGCTTCAAGAAGCCTGGGTCTTGGTGTTCTCCGTGTTATACAAATATTTCACCAATAGCTACAGGATGCAAATATTGGATTTATTTTTATAGAATTTTCTACTTAATCCGATTTTCATCCTCTGGTTAGATGTGTGCCCTCTGTGTACTTTTTAATGCAATAGACAGAATACAGAGCCTCCCTCCAGTTCACAAGAAGCTGTAGGAATGTTCCTGCCCTCGTCAGAGTTTAGGCCGAGTCTGGCCCAGTGTCCCCTCAGAGGAGCGCCGGCTCCTTAGGGGAGGATGTTCTTGCTGCTCCTGTGCATTGCGGTGCGGATGGTTCACTGATGCCACCCTTAGTCAGCACGGTCAGTCGTGCTTTCTAGGTGTCCACGCCACGCTGACTTCCTCACATCACCTAGGCTTGGATTTGTTTGTGTGTTTTTCATTCATTCCCTTAGGTAAACAAAGGTAATACTCATTTTTACCAGAAAAATTAATTTCAGAAGTCTGTAGTCAGTAGAGAGACAGGCTGGGTCTGGAGCCCTTTCAGTAGTTAATGTGGATTGTTTCCTGTGTCATAAACTCTAGACTGAGCCTGTCTGCTCCAACCTATGTAGGAGTGATTTTCTACACTGCTACTGTGAAATGTTTTGCTTCCATTTACAATCTGTCACTGTGGGGACTTGGGCAGTGAATAACCACAGCATGGAGGGAATTTAGTGGTCTTTTTGTATTCCATCATATTATAGAGAGGTTGTAAGGGGTTATAGAAACATACAGTACATTAAAATAAAGTTCAAATAAGAAAAACAAATTAGGACCAAAGAAGAATAAGAGTAGGAAAGAAGATGAAATCAAGATTAAGGCTAAATGAATGCATGCTACTATAAGGTTCTGAACAATTTATTTTAATACTCTTGTGCTGGTTAATTTAAACTGAAAGGGAATCTCCATTAAAGTTCTGGGAATTATTACTGGCTCAACGTTGACTCTTAGTTCTTAGATCAGTGATTTTTTTTACTGTACCTTCTTGTTTAGATGAATTAAATATCAATGTTTATTTGTTCTAGTTGCAGACTTCCTACCCCTACTGGTCCACAGACATGGGGCCACTTTGCACAGTATTTTAGAAAGTATTTAGTTAGTTGCCACCATTTAAAAATTGAGAGATTAAATAATTTGAATTGCTGGCTTCACTTGATAAATGAGGATACGGTAAGACCAGGCGCATGTTCCTGCATGTCAGAGATCAGCTGCGAGGGGAGAACCCTTCCCACTGTGCACAAAATTTCCAAATCTCTCTGTTCATTTACATCACCTGCCTGGGCTGGGTAGACCCTGGAGTTCACAGCGCCTGTCCTCGGCCATGTGCCCTATGCTGAAAATGAGGGAAGTGAAGCCCCCAGGAGGCTGCCCAAGGCAACAGAGCTGGGCAACTGCAGAACTGGCCCTTCCACACAGTGTTATAATGTTGCACCAGTTCAGTTTAGTTTGGGTGTTTAATGAGTGACTTGCCTTTGCCCAGCCCTGAATTGGGCCTAATGAAGAGTATAAAAGTCTAAGTTTCGGTAATAGGTACAACCCATTAATATTGGTAAGACATTTATCCAATGCCAATTAAAATTCGCTAATTTTTACTGTTGTGTGATAGGGTCATTAGTTGTTATTGATCATTAGTTGTTAGTCATGTGTAACATGACCAGGCTGATTTAACAAAATGGATTGAAATACAGAAATGTAATCATAAGCAAAGCCCGTAGTCCCACCACCATTAATTCAGGCAGTTGGTGGGCAAACTTGATAAGAGAAACCAAGTCTATTCGAGGGTATCACGTCTTCAGTTGCTTGAACCCTAAGAAAACTGTCAATTGTGCTCTTCTCTTTTCAGTGCACTTGGAGGTTCCTCAGCTCTTCATATTCCAGCTTTTCCAGGAGGAGGATGTCTCATTGACTACGTTCCTCAAGTATGCCACCTGCTCACCAACAAGGTAAAAGTTGCCCCCACCTTGGGAGGCTCCTTCCTCCAGCGCAGCACCTACCCCGCATCACCGTGAAGCACCGTCCTCTTCGCCCCAGCTTCTTAGTTTCAGCCTCCATCTCCATCGGCCTTTCTCACTTTGAGTTGTAGTGTTCAGCGTCTCTCCCTGTGCCTTTGCCTCTTCTTTCCTTTGCTAGGGGTTCTGGCCTCCTGTTCCAATCTTATCTTTATCTTTTAAGTTTGTATCTCCCTTTCTTTATTTTTCTTTATGCCCTAACTATATGCTAAATCCATACCTTCTTATGGCTTAACATTTTTGAACTTTTACATTTTCCAGTAGTCCTTGCGTGCATGTGAGGATGTGTATTTGTGTGTGTGTGTGTGTGTTTGTCACTAATTAATATTAAGTGAATTCTCCAGAGCTGCCTTCATCTTCTGCTGCTTTTCTGTACCTCACTTTTCAGTAGTTAGTTCTTGATTCTCCCTGTCATTCTCAGAGCAGTTCGCCAGAGTCCTGCTCCTGGGGCAAAGTGTTCAGGTCTGCTGGTCTCATGGCCAGGCACCTCAGGTTACCTAAGCTTTCTGTTAGCTGCGTTGACGAGCCATTACAAGTAGCTGAGTTTGCATTAATGGTTGTCGTCAGATATTTTTTAAAAGTGTGTCCAGCCAGTGTATTTAGCTAGAAACTGGAGAGGTTAATCCATAAGCGATACTGACTTTCTTCTGTGTGGACTGACTCAGTTTGCTTAATTCCCAGAGTGTTATTTTTTTTGCTTCTATTGATTTGTTTACATTGTCTTGGAAAATAAATCTTTTGTTTGTCTCTTTCATTCAAAAGATATCTCAAAAAAGAAAAAAAGACAATTTATCTCTACATAGAAAATATCTTAAACGTACAATAATATTTCAAAGGTTTCAATATTATTTTTTAAATGTCAGAGAAACTAAAATCTGGCAACTCTGCAGTCTGGGCTTGGCGCAGATTCCAGGGTATTTAACTTTCATAAAGTGGTTGCTTCTCATTGGACCAAATTCCCCCAGCCTCTATCCTCCTACAAAACCCTTCAGAGGACAGAATTCTTGTTTACGTTGTGGGACTTCGCACTGCCTTCAAATCTGTGTCCTAGTATCATGGGGAAAAAATGCAAATTTGGCCTTCCAAAACTGAGTAGAAAAATCTTTTTAAAGCTCTCCAATTGAGATTAATTTCTACTCATACAATTTTTCTCAAAAAAAAAAAAAAAAATTGTAATGCATTTCCCCAGAAATACAAGAATCAGTTTGTTTTTCTTATCTGGTTCCCTTTCATTAATTTTACTTGTCTTTTAAAATTGATGTTCTTCTGCTTGCTACAAACGAGGACAGCATGGCTGCTTTTAGAAACAATCTCTTCAAATGAATTTCCATAATTATATTGGAATCTATCTTTATAGCCAGTTTTGTTGTGGGTTTCTGTTAAAATGGCTTTCTGTTTTTAAAATCAAGTACACAGAACTGTTTTCATCCCCTTTTTAAACAAAGCCACTTAAGCAAACTTATCATCTGTTTTTCTTTTCCCAAAATAATGTTTCTGATCCTGCATTAAGACTGCAAAGTAAGCACTGTTATTATAAATTGATATAAACCCCCATTATATAAATAGAATTGTTTTACTTTTAAAGGCTACAACATGGCTATCAGTACCAATTGTGTCAAGGTTATTTCAAGCACTTTATCTCAAGCTTTTGTTAGCCATGGAAACTCATTGTGGCCACAGCCAGTATAAACAATTTGGGGGGTCTCTTTCTCCCACTCTTTCTTGCAGCCATTATGGGGACATTATAAGGAATATATTTTTGTATTAGAAGCTGATGGGTAAATAACTGACTTTCAGATAGATGCCTAACTGACTGAACTGACAATTTTTGTTGTTGTTGTTGTCGTTGTTTTTTTATCCTCACCCGAGGACACTTTTTGTTCAGGTAGAGTGGGAGGGAGAGAGAGAGAAACATCGATGCGAAAAGGACACATCTAGCGGCCGCCACCCACAAGACCCAACCAGGGCCGGGGACAAACCGCAACCGAAGCACACGCCCTCAGCGGGAACCAAACTCTGGTCTCTCTGGACCATGGGCCAACGCTCTATCCGTGAGCCAAACCGGCCAGGGCTGAACTGACAGTTTTTTAATAGAATCTGTCATTTGGTGATAACAAGGCAAAATAAAATCTCTTATTGTAACACTTCTTATTCTGAATATTAGGAATTTAAAAAGAAGGAATTAAGCATTATCCTGCCTTTTCAATAGGAGTTGTAGTTCAGGATAGCCAAATAGTTTTATTTGATGCGAAGATGCTCTTTATAGAGAATTCCAGCTGATAAACACAGAAGAAATGATAGAATTAAAAAATCATCATTGTTTTCAGGCCCTAATGAAATAATTGATTCAGACAAGCACCTCCAACAGATACTAAACTCATTAGGTGAGAAGTTATAGGGAACTAGATCTTCACATGCTTCGAGAGGTACACGCGTGGATTACCCACCGTGCAGTGGCTCGATGTGGCTGTCGTCACCTGAACCGTGGTCAAACCCAGTATTAACTGTGAAATTTTCTTGCCAAAAGTATTTAACCTGAATCTAATCACACCTTGAGCTCTAACTTGCAATGTATAGGGAATACAGAGTGTAGTGGGAAAAGAAAGAGACAGATCATCTGGAATGCAGGAAGTTCTACAAGATCTCTGAGAAGTCAGTGTCACATATACACGTGCAGCACTCACACCCTCAGGGGCACTGTTATTTGGGATCAGAAGGTGTTCTAGATTAAATTGCCTGACCCCTGATTGATTAGACTCTGCTTAAAAATGTTTTGGGGACAACTGGGAAATTTTGAGGATGGACAGGATTCTACGTGAATTCAAAGAATAACTGCTGAATTTGTTGGGTATGATAATTTGTGGTTATGCAGAAGAACGTTTTATTTTTTGGAGATGCGTGTTGAAGTATTTAGGACAAACTATCACCATGTCTCTAATTTTCTTTGAAATGTTTCAGCAAGTTTGATGGTAGATTGATAGGTAGGTAGATGGCTAGATGAAGCAACGAGACAAAATAGTCACAGTTGTTGAATATAGGTGGTGGGACTGGATGTTCATTCTACTATTATTTCTACTTCTCTGAATCTTTGAAACTTTTCATAGTAAAGCATTTAAAAGTTTCTGAGCTCTGGGTTCCTCTTCCAGGTGCAGTATGTGATTCAAGGATACCACAAAAGAAGAGAGTACATCGCTGCTTTCCTCAGCCACTTTGGCACGTGAGTCCTCTGCTTGCACCGCGTGCCCTTGCGTCCTGTGGCCCTGATCTGAGCTGCAGTCGGTCACTGCTCTGAGCGCTCAGACACAACGCCGACCCAGAAATCCTTTCCAGAACTTTTGTGGAGATTCCCTTTCAGTTTATTTAACTAGCACACAGTTATGACAAGAAATTGTTCGGAAACTTACAGCATGCATTGCATAGATTTGATTTTTTTATTTTTTGATATGTTGCTTACACTAAAGCTCCCAGGAAGAGATTTTTTTTTAGCATCTTTAGCAAATAACAAAATGAATGTCTTCCCTGGAGCAGCAGCACGCCCAGCCCAGCCCAGCCCAGCAGGAACAACGGCAGCCCTGCTTGTCACAGAGCCTTGGCAGTGCACAGAGCACCGTCCCCTCCCTCGGCTCAGTCATCATGAGGTGAACCAGGCCGGGTTAGTGACACATTGCACTGATGAAAACCCTGAAACTTTGAGAAGTTCAGTAACCTGACATAGGTCACACATGTGAGCTCAGAGAGCCAGGGTGGGAACTCAGGTCTCCTGACAGAAACCCCTCCCAGCAGTGCCACACAGATGACTCCCACTGGGAATTAGGAGTTGGGCAAAGGCGCTCGGAGGGCCCAGGGCAGCATGTAACTGCAGTGACGGGGGCATGTCCCCCTGCGGCTGTCCCCTGCGTCCACCCTCCTCTTCAGGTTGCCCTTGGCAGTGCTGCTGCACAGCTCCGTCCCAGGCTTGGTGGCAGAGGCCTGACCAACCTCCTCGGCGGAGCTCAGGGCGAGGATCGCACTCTCCTCGTAGACTGCTTTGAAGATGGCTCGTTCTACCCACTAGGGGACGGAGGGTCTCAGTGGTCCGGTGACAGCCCACCAGATTCCAGGGAGATACGGGAGCACAAAATCGAGATTGTACACTAGTACATGAAGAAAGTGGGATAGGAAAGAGAAGATGAAATAAAAACTAAGGTGGGCCATCCCCGGGGTTATAATTTTACAAATGGGGGCATAATTATAAGCAAAATTGCTGACTCCTCAAAACAATTTCAAGAGGTTTTCTCATTATCCATCCGTACCAGAATTCTTCCTGCCTCCAGAGTGGAGCTTTCGCTGTCTAAACAGTGTTGCTGGCTCTCACATAAGTCTTTAGCACTTGAGATTTTTTTCAGCTTTATTTATGAACACTTTGAGAAAGTACTTATGATACAGACAGTAGTTAATAAATGACACAATTTATGAGTAAGGTTATCTTTAGTATATATAATTTTGGAGGAAGACTATCTTTAGTACATCTAATTGAAAACGAAGAAACCGGCACAAGGACCTTCAGAGTAGAGTACACGTACCCCAGAGTGAGCCCACCTCCCTCCATGGTCATATCAGAGAAGTGTGAAAATTGCATTGGCATTTGTTTTTAAATCATTCTTTTTTAATGTACACTTTTGTGTATGTTATATTTTGCATATAATACAGTAGTACTTATATAAAACTACTAAATTATATACAAACACTACTATATTACTGTACTATACAGGGTGGGGGGAGTAGGTTTATAATTGTGAGTATGCGAAACAGTTATTCTCATGTTATTATTTATTAATTATTATATTATTTTCCACACATGATGAAGAGGATTCTATGCTTGTTTTTGCTTATGGGACACAGGATCTAAAAAATTTAAATATTAGTGTTGGAACTTATTGAGTTAGTTATAAATTCATGAAAAAAAGTATAAAATGCTGAATAAAATTATTGACTTAAGTCAGAAGATCTGAATGATATATAATAGTCTTTGAGCAAATCACTTATACTTCAGTGTGCTAGTTCCTTTACTTTTACAGTGGCTGCAGCTATTCCTTTATTTTATTTTATTTTTTATTTTGAGAGAGAGAGGAAAGGAGAGGGAGAGAGAGATAGAAACATCAATGAGAGAGAACATCGATTGGCTGCCTCTTGCATGCCCTCCACTGGGATCAGGCCCACAACCTGGGTATGTGCTCTGACCGGGAATCAAACTGGCAACCTCTTGGTTCATGGGTCGACGCTCAACCACTGAGCCACACCAGCCAGGCGCAGCTGTTCCTTAATGTATCAACTTAAACTGAGCAGCCACCAGTATTAACAGTCTGATCAGCCTGACTCAGCCAGGGAGAAGGCATCTCTAAGGATAGATAGCAGAGGCCTTCTTGTGTGGATGAGAGAGGACATTAATCCTGTCCTCATTGTGCGGTTAGTGTTGTCGCACTATGGTGACATCCCCCAAGCACTCAGCTCTGGAAGGAAATGGGGAAGGTGAGCCTACCAGAACCCTGCCCAGGCCCTTCGGTGATCAGGAGCTATTCGCCTGTCTCAACCAGCATCCACCCAGCTAACATTTCCACTTTGTCCTGTGCCCAGTGGGGAAGACAGGGGGACATAGGTGAAAGGATTCCAAGTACTTTGGAAAAAGTAATATATAACCCTAAACCTAGAAACACTGCCATTGCTGTTTAGAGCCTAAGTGAAAGTGAGACTTAGAATCACTGTACAGACAGTGGTGTCGTTGCTGACCTGATTTCCTCATTTGTCCTTTTACTCATGACTGGTAATGACCATCTGCATAGCATTCTATGGTTTATCTTTGTTTTTCACAACCCTGTAATGAAGTTTGGAAATATTCTTATGTTTGTTTCATGGATGAGGAAACTGAGGCTTAAGGTTAAGTAATATGCCTGCGATCAGAATAGATAGTAAATGGCAAAGCTATCACTGGTACCTAGATGCTGTCATTCCAAATCCATACCCTTCCTGTGGTGATGCTCACTCACCCTCAGTGCATCTGAGATTCAGGACCCTGACCTTATGAATATATTCTTTATTTTGTTCTATTTTTTATAACTTCTTTTTATAAGAGTTTTTGTTTGTGTGTGTGTGTATGTTTTTATTACTTAGAGGTGTCGTGGAATATGATGCAGAAGGCTTTACAAAACTTACCCTGCTGCTGATGTGGAAAGATTTTTGTTTTCTTGTACACAGTGAGTATACTTTTGCTATTAGCATGTCAGCATACATTTGAAAATGTATTAGACCACATGTAATAATGAGCATGAGAACCTTTAGTGTCCTGACTTGGTTTCTTTTACTTTAGTATATTTGCTGCACGATTTTAAAGAGAAGTATCTCTAGACCAGTGTTTCTCAACCAGGTGTAATTCTCCCCTCCAGGGACATTTGGCAGTGTCTGAAGATATTTTTGATTGTCATGATTTTGATGAGGGGTGGCGGGGGAGGCTGTTGTTGCAACTGGCATTTAGTTGGTAGAGGTCAAGGATGTTGCTAAACATCTACAATGCACAGGGCAGGTCCCTCACCACTCCCCCCTTAAAAAATCTTTGCATGTAAAATATCAGTAGTGCTGAATTTAAGAAATTTTCCCAAGACTGATTTCTGTTTCACAGAATCTTTCCAATATCAGGCCTCAAAACTTTCAGGATTACTCAAAACATACCTGCTTTGATCATTTGGTTATCATCCTTATTAAGTTAAGAGTCCACAACTTTGATAATATGTAATATATATCATAAAGGTAAAACAATGTTTTAATGTATTCCCAATATTACTTTTCATTTTATTCCACAGAATAGGTGTATTTAAATGTTTGTTGTGTTACATTAGTCAGTCAGTCAATAAACTGATAGATAATTTAGTCTCTTTTGTTTATTTCTTTGTGTTATAAGAACCAGTGACCCATGGTGCTAGGTTCAAGTTGCAAGTAACCAAGACATTTATTATTATTTATTTAATATGTTTTTATTGATTTTTTTAGAGAGAGAGAGAGGAAGGGAGAGAGAGAAACATTGATGTGAGAAACATCCATTGGCTGCCTCCTGCACGCCCCCTGTTGGGGATCAAGCCCACAGCTCGGGCATGTGTCCTGACTGGAATCAAACCGGGACCTCTCAGTCCATGGGATAAGTCATCCGCTCGATCCACTGAGCCACACCGGCTAAGCAAGACCTTTATTCTTGATTAATGTGGTGTGCAAAATGCCCAGTCTTCAAGCTAAAGGCAAAGAAGTTCCAGTTTTTTTCAAGTCAAGTTACAGAACATCAGTGGGTTTGGGTTGACTTCACTCAGTAGCTACAACGACCCTAGTCCTCAATAAACTATACTATCTCAGGAAGCAAGGCTCTGGCCCTATTTAGCCAGGCCCTCAGATAGTATAAAGATATTGATTTGGGGAGATTTTCCTTCCCCAGCAGATTGACCTTCTTGGTTGAGATTTGCTTAGCTAAGCTAAAATAGTTTTTAAATTACTTTGTCTTACCTGATTTTACACCAACAGATAGTAAGTGAAGAAACCCTAACATATCCATAGGGCAAAGGGAGGAAGCCTCTGATCAGAACCTTCCGTTAACTCCACGTGGAGATAACTGAGAGTTGGCTCTACTTGTAAGGAGTTGGTTGCCCTGCCTTTTAGGTGTTTCCCAGTGACCACCTTGTCATGCAGTGCTCTGCATTGCGCTCCTACTCTATAGCCAGCCACTCACTCGAACTATCTTTCAAATGCATCTGGAGAATGTAAGCATGCCGCTTTGTATTAAGAGTGCACAGATAAACAGAGTTGGAGAGGTACAGATCTCATTTTGGGTGTACCTCCAAATAATTACATGACCTTCTTCAAATCACTAGGACAGCATCCCTCTGCTTTAGTTTTCTCATATGTAAACTGGTGATATATGAAATCGGGTAAGTCCTGTGGAGACATCAGCCTCTAAAGCATAACCTACGATATGGGGCCAGGTGAGAGATGTAGCCTCACCGTCAAGGCCATCTGGCACTCACCTCTTTGTTCACCATCTTCTGTGACCCCACTGGTACTTCCAGCTGCCACTTTTTAAAAAATTTTTTATCCTCACCCAAGGACCTTTTTTTTTTGTTTTTTTGATTTATCTTCAGATAGAAAGGGAGAGAGAGAAACATCGATGTGAGAGAGACATATCAAGTGGCTGCCACCCAACAACCCCAGCTGGGGCCAGGGACAAACTGCACCCGAGGTACGTGCCCTTAGCGGGAACCAAACCTGGGGCTCTGGTCCGCAGGCCGACACTCTAACCACTGAGCCAAACCGGCCAGGGTCCAGCTGTCACTTTTGATTCTGACTTTGTGTCACTGCTTTGGTTTTGCATTCAGAGTCATAATTCCTTTGTGAGATCTCACTTCCTATTTGCCATATCCACTTCGCCCACCAGCGAATCCCAGGGGTTCTGTTTCTAGCCTGCGAGTCCAACCCCAGGTCCTGATTGCATCCTCGCTTTGTCTCTCGTGACCCTGGACAGTTGCCTGGGTGATTAGTGTGCTGTGATTCCCCTGGTCCAGCTCAGAAGAGGGGTCTTCACCCTGCCTCGAATGGCAGTGGAAATAGGGTCCTCCCAGAGGGGCTGTGGAAGGAGGACACAGAGGGAAGGACTCACAGAAGGACATTGCAGACTTTCAATGAGATGAATGCTTCAGCCAGTTTATTTGTCCCCAGGGGCATGAAATCTCACCTCTTCCCTGAATTTTACATGGTTCCTAGCTATGGTTCTACTTTCAAAAAACAATGTCAGTTTATATCAGATTTAAGGCGAAAAAGATATTCTTGGCATTGCTCATTCTGACTTGTGTCTTTTACATGCAGCTCAAAGGTGGCTAGCAAGAGTGATGTTCCAGGATAAAAGGACATTCACCTCTCAGCTCCTGCCAGCTTTCTTATCAGTGCCTCCAGTATAACAATTCTTTTTCTTTGGAAGCCAACCCCCCCCCCACACACACACACACACACATATTCTCTCCATGTGTCCAATATTTCTTACAGTTCCTCTTCACCTTCCTATCTTAGCTTTTTCAAGTCAAACATCTATGTAAAATCGTTTCTCAAAGTCATATTTTCACTTAGCATTGACTACCTTATTCAGAAACATAGGACTCCCAGGCACTCAAGAGAACAGCTCCTGGGACCTTGCGATTCATTTAATTTACTTCTAGCAAAGTGCTTCTCAGGCTGATTCCTTTTCTCCCAAGGCTGCTCACTTCTTGTCTCTCAGCTCACTGCCCACACTGGGCGGTTCCGGCAGATGAGACTCGTCTCTGAATCAGGGGACTTTGGTGCTGTTTCCACCTTTTTGCTTCTTTCTTATATCTAGGACTTGCTCCATCAGAGTGAAGCTTGGTTAGATAATGTGTTTTTTTTTTTAGTTGTGTGGTTAAGCATTTGACATTTACCTTCCTTTGCAAGCATCTGTTTGTTTGGTTACAGCACCCCAGGGGCCACTTGTTCCCCTTTTTTTCCTCGAAGATGGGAATGTGAATATGGGGTGGCAGAGACTTAATGATAGAACATTGCAGTGAATTTTTCTGGGATCTCAGAACACGAGAAGGAAGAAGGAAGTGCGTAGAGGTGGAGCCAGTCTTCTGTGGCTGGCTCTGCTACTCCATGAGGTTGGAGACCGGGCAGGACCTCAGATAGCATCTCTGCTCCCCCTCCCCCCATTCTGCCCAGGCCCAGGGAGAGTGTTGTCATGAAGGCAGGTACTGGCAATAATTCTGAGCATTGTGGATGCTAGAGGAAAGAGGCAGTCCTCTCTGGAGACAGGTGGCTTTGACCCAGACTTTGCCAGAGTGTGTGGAAGCAGTCATGCCCTTGGGGAGACATTGAGCATATTCCAGGGTCTCAGGAGATTCTGTAACTGCCTGGCATCCTGGTGATTCCAGGAGTGGGGACTATGGCCATGGAGCTTTTCTTATCCATTTACTTCTTCTTTCCTTCCTTCATCCATTTTTAGTGGATCACAAGACTTGGAACCACAGCAAGATCAGGGACTTGCTCCTATCCAGAAACTATTTTCGGGATGGTTTCCTGGCCATCATGTAGGAATTATTTGTAGTGGTTATGTGGTAATTCTGAACTTGCCAAGCTGTTGTTACCTCTAGAAGTAGATGTTTTCTGTGGGCCAGCATCTTTTCAGAATGCTGGGTGACATGAGGACCAGATAGCAGGGCACAGAAACACAGAACAAAAGCCACCACTGGGTGAAACCTCGGCCCTTTTTCATGGGTCCTCGTCAGCTGCACTGTATACAAGAGGCAGCTGCCTAAGATAACGGTGCTGCTTAGAAACGAAGGGTATTGAGATCTGTGACTTCTAAGACAAGAGGGAGTCTGCGACTCTGTGAGAAGCTGTCTTTTCCCATCACCTGTAAATATGTGGTAAATGACCCCTTGAGTCATCCAACCTGGATGAAATATAGGCCATGTTTCCCTGGTAAGATACCTATCTGTCCATTGTGACTGTTCCATTTCATTTTTTCTCTTCTTTGCCCCTAAACTGATTAATTTAGCAGAGTTCTGAGTTTACTGAGAACCTACTGTGTGCTCAGTACTATGACAGGGTCCCAAGGGATCTAAGTAAATAAGTCAGGCTTGATCTTAAGACACTTAGAGTCTGGCACAAGGGTTGGCAGACTGTAGCCTGTGGGCCAAATCCCATCCTCAGCTCGTGTTCATAGGGCCCTCAAGCTAAGGTGATTTTATGTGTCTAAAGGGTTTTACAACAACTATGTAACAGAGATGGTAAAGCCTAAAATATTTACTCTAAACCCTTTACAAAAAAAGCTTGCCAAGCCCTGGTTTAATTATGAGAAAAGAGATTGGCTAAAGGTGAAGTACAATGGTATGTATTTTTAAAAATATTTTGTGAGCCTGCCAACTGTATGCAAGTCACAAGGTGATACATGACAGAGAGAACTGTATATGATATACACACGTGGGAGAAAGGGAGGGAGAAGAAAAGAGGGAAGGAGGGAGGGAGGGACAGAGATCGAGACCGTCCTTAATGGAGTCTAATGAGAGATACAGACATTAAAGAAGCAAACTAACAAATACATAGATTTCAAAAGACAGATAACCATAATGGAACGAAGTAGAGCGCCATGAAAGAAAGAGACTAAGGAGGGGAGTTACTGTCAGGGTGATCAGGGAAGACTGCTCATAAGAGG